TTAAACAAACTGCTGAAGGTAGTTGGGATCTTTTAGTACAGAGCAAACAGAGGTAGCTGTTAAAGGAGATAATGTGCAGGCAGTAGAGAGGCAGGACGATATCACAAATTCACCTTCTTTACAGGCTACGAGATCTAAAGAAATCCTAAATGGACCAGATAGTTGCAGGCTGCCTTTCCCCCTCCAACTATTCACTGGTATGAGATCAGTGATGACCTTGAAGAAGTGAGTTGAGGTTTCTTCATATCAGCATCTAACTCTAAATTGATCTGATCTCCTGAGCTCACACTTAACGAAGCATGTCAAATGCAAGAGACTAAAATCCTGCAAACACACACGCACACACAAACGCACCGTGGACACTCACTGCCTCTGTGAAATACACACACACACACCTCCGACCAACATTTACCCAATTCATACACACGCAGAGTTCATAACAAGCATCCAGCAGTACACACACAGACCATGCTGCAGTCCCACTTCAGAGCAGTCTAATGAGCTGGTGTGATGCATAGGAAGCTTCTTGCTGGAATGTCAATGAGAGCCTATTAGTAGCAAATAAGCTTGGAATATTGCTAACAGGCTGTCTGACATTTTCAAAGGAGGACGTGAGCAGAATGGCTGACAGCCTCGGCTACCCTTCAAAATCAAAAGTTGAAGAACATGAGGGATGACTTGGGCGTCTGCAGAAGGATTAACCCTTCACAGCACCGGTTAAACCCCATGAAAGAAACACATATTGTGTCCTGTTTCCATCAGCATTTAAATCTTAAACTGAAAGCTGTGGGACAGAGTTACTGGTATTAGATTTGAAAGGTCACCTGTGGAGTACCCCAGGGATTGGTGATTTACAATCATGATATCAGTTAACATTTTTAAAAATGACACTCATTTATATTGCTCTAAGGGAAAAACATTTTTTGCAGCAAACCTAGCTATTGGAAGAATCTGGAATGAAATAAGTAGAAGTAAAAGACCTTGTAAATACTTTGTTGTCCATTTACAGTTTTTAAAATATCCTATCCCTATCCTTGTAAAAACACGCTAATCAGCTCCAGGAATGTGCACCCCAGCAAATTCACTCCATTCATCTAAAGGTCAGATTGTGCAGACCTCAAAGAAACCACGAAAAAACCCGTCTCAGATTATAGCGGCCTCAGCTAGCATGCTAAAGTCTAAAGTTCATGACAGAATAAAAACTGAACAAGTACGGCTTGTTTGCAAGGACTGCCAGGTGAAACACTCTGTTCTCCAAAAACAACATGGCAACACAGCTTAGGTTTGCAAAGTTGCATCTCCACGAACCACAAGTTGTCTTGAACAATATCCTTTGGACAGTAGAGACCAAAGTGGAGATGACTGGCCATAATGTACAAACACCGAACAAGAATGAAACACAGCTCATACCCTCTGTCAAGCATGGCAGTAGAGGAGTGATGATTTGGACTTGTTTGCATCTGGGCACCTGAAAAAGTATTGAGATGTATTCAGATCAGGACAAATCTAGGAAATCTAGAGCAGAACGACAGAAAAAATACAGAATCAAGGGGTTGCACAATGGCCCAGTCCAAGCCCAGATCTCAACCCAATTGAAATACTGTGGCCAAAGTAAGAAAACAAGTGGTCACAAATCTCAATAAACTAAAGCAAACTCGTAAAGGAAAAATTCTTTTGAAGCTTACGCGTAAGTTCAATGAGGGAGATCTGTAGTCGCACATCTGTAGGCTTGCCAGGTATTGGCGGCTAATCTCAGCTTTACATCACTTCCACTTTCCCACACTGTCAAGCTGATTGTGACATCACTGGTCTAGTCCAATCATCTTTCTGCCGGCCTTCTTTAGGCCAATCAGCCTTCACTCCACATACTTTAAATCTCACTGCGTATCTGTCATTCTCCTTTGCAGACGCTTTCATCTACTCCATCTCCTCCTCATCACAGCCTCTCCTTAGTCACTCAGGCCCTATTCAAGCCTCCATCTTCATCTCCACCACCAGAGTCTAGAGTCCGGGGGATCTTGTCCTAATCCCTTTCACTGCTGGGATGTTCTTCTGCTGTGATGGGTCATCGGAGTCTATCCGCCAAATGCCTCAAATTGAATTCTTTACATCGACAAATCATGTTCAGTTCCTTCTAATGATCTCTCCTTATTGAACTACAATGATGCAGGAAACTGATAAAGTCATACAGAGAATGATTACTTCAAGTTAGTGCTGCTAGAAGTGGTTCAACAAGCTACTGAATCAATGGGCGTACTTAGTTTTTTACAGGAGTGCAAAGAGTCCTGTTAAACAACCCAACTCAAAACACTGTTCAAAGTAACAAGAAGCAAAGACAGGTCTATGGAGTCAGAACAAGAGGGAACATTAACGTGTTCAACAGTCCTGAGTAAGGGTTCTTCCTCTTGGGCGAAGCTCGGTAGATGGAAATATTCATACTTCTTGTGCAAATGTTCGAATTCAAGCCAAATTTGTACATTTCACTATGACTACCCTCTTGAAAATACAAAGTAACTTCTGGATGAATAATTCGTGGTTTAAGAGCTTCAATTTTTTTCCCCCAAAAGTCAAGTTCCTTTTACATGAAGCACTTTACACCAAGTGAGTTAAGAAGTTAAAAATATTTCAACTAATATCAGGCGAGCGGTTGGCTACAAATAGGTGTTTTAACAGTTGCATAGCAACAGCAAAGACTGTGACCAGCAATCCCCCATGAGCATTTCTTTCAGAGTATTCAGCTAATAAAGTGGTGTCAACTGGACACAGAGCCTTGATTTACTGGCACAAATGCAGACCTGAATTTCTCTCCACTTACTTTCAAAGTTGAATCACTTCTTCTCTTCTTATTTTCCTGTTTGTTATGTATTTGAAGATTGTCACACAGCTCCACCTATATCATTTCTTTAGATCTACTCATATTAGCTGCATTAGTTAAAAAGATGTCTAATAGTTTGACCTGGCGTTCAGCAATCGTGCATGCTAGGCCATTACAAACTGTAAAGGCCTCCCAATTGCAGCCTCTTTCTACTTTGTCAATGACCCGCCAGTTCACCGTGAAGAGACATACACAGCATCACAAACAAGTGCCTACTGTATTAAGCCTATGCAGTATGAAGAAACTCATCCCTGTTGTTGTTTTGTGTGTACGCTGGTGTGTGTGTTTGCTAGTTAAGTACCTGTTCTGGTGGCTTTCCAGAATCCTGCTGTATTAATTATCGACGTTCCTGTCACCTCAGAAGCCCCAAAACTGCTGACACAGCAAGATCTGAGCAACCACACAGGCGCATGCATGCACACACACTCGCACACGCACACTTGGCCTTTGTCCAGTAATTCATACACCAACCTGTTCTGTACCATAACCACTGCACGACTTTATGGTAAACTCACTAAATGTGAGTGGCTGTGTGTTGAGAAACCTGCATGAATATATATCCATGCTCACGAGTTAATGCATGTACCGCACCTACACTTTCTTACTTTCGCAGTGCCTTAGCCCTTTAGAAAACTGAGGGAATCGCTGAACAGCCACGCCGCCATATATCACAGAGTCAGGTTAATGACATGGTTCCTTTTCTCGTGTAGATTAGCATAAATAATGCAGATTAGTCCTTCTCTGCGTCAGCATTAATTGCTACATTATGCTGTTGTGCACTTCAGTGAGTCCTGTAGTAAAGACCTCTGCAGGTCCTTGAAAAGCCTGCAAGAAGTTCCACTAAAGAAACTACATGCAATATAAACATAGTCCTCTATGACTAATATTAGACATGTTGATTTGCTATTGATGTATAATTACATCTTACTGTTTCATTAATTTGAAAATTCTACAGTTCTTGACTGATTGAGCAAATCTGAAGTAAACGACTACATGTGATTAACTGTGCACGGTTACTCACTGCTTAACTGCTATGCCTATATCCATAAATACATGTAGAGTTCTAAGACCTTAATGGGTCTCAGGAAGGTTAATACTAGTTATCAGAACAAGTGTGCCTACTAAAGAAGCACATTTTGCCAATTACATGCTGATTAGCTGCTGCAGTGTCAGGCAGGACTGAACGCCTGGATTTCTGAGCACTTCACAGCACACAGATAACGCTATTCCCTACAAACTACTATCTATTCTGTGCTGGCAGTGAGCCAGCATTGCACTTCATGAGCTGCTCCTTCAAACCCAATTCACCTCACTTACCCAGCCTGAATACAAAAACATAAGCCTGTGCCTAGTCACGGAGTACACCCCGATCTGTAAATCCCTGAACAACTTGTTTTACAGCTCCATTCCTCTGCTGATTGTGTGAATGGAGTACAACACATCCCTACTTACTGTTATAAGACATGTTATGCTGCCTACACCACATACACTGCAGTATCTCTGGCATTGGGCTCGCTTTCTCTGTGTTATGTGACAGTGCTACACCAGGGGACAGTTTCTCAGATGTGGACTGCTGCAGATGTCACAGACAAGTAGTCATTCTATTATACTTTGTTCAAGCCTGCTTGAAGGACATATCCATAGCTGGTACATTGGTGCAAAAACTGAAAGGCATGCTGACATACGCTCTGAGCCTCACATTCATCCTTACACAACAAAATTAGTGAATCGGACCAAGTGTATATACTTTTGCTATACTTTGTGTACTTAAATACACAAAGTATAGCAGCTCCTCTATATGAACCAGGGATGCCAAACTCATTTTACATTGCCACATTCAACTAATTCTGATCTTCAGTGAGCCAAACCAGAAATAAATCCTTTCTGCCTGTGTAAAGAATTCTAACTACACATTTAAGCCCGGAGAAATCTTAATATTAAAAAAAGAGCAATTTCAACATTACGTCTCAGTTTTTCTATGCGATAAAGACCAAAAAAATCAAAAAAAAAAGTCAACAGTCAATAGTGAAAAACTGAACGTTTTCTGTAATTTAACCGTTTATCTATTACTTATTCACTTATAGTAATTAAGTAAGTAATTAGATGGTATAGGTGTAGTATGAATGGCCACGGGGGAGGTCTTTATCAGCAGGAAAAGCTGTAAAACGTATTAAATTTATTCCTTATTTTATATTTTTCAAAGCCCTCTAGTGGGCCAGTTTGGAATCTTTTCCAAGCTGATTTTGGCCCCTGAAGTCTTATGTTGACACCCCTAATATAAACTATCTAAAGATAAACCAAACTTCATATACACATGTCTATACACGTGTAAAGCACCAAGTGTTGATTGCCACTGGTCCAAACCGGTGTCACTGGTTGCTACCATGGTAACATCAATAAAGCTCGCAATTTGCCAGGTGACAAAAATGATGTCAAACTGACATCACATCCACTTGCCTACAATACCACCTGAGTGTCGCTCCGGCCGGCCAAGTACCTTTTGATTTTTGGAACCTGAGGCATTGCAGGCAATTCAACCAATGCAGGTTGAAGATATGAGTGCCGTTTTTTTCTGCCATTTTAATGATATATCAGTACATGAGCTCGGAGATCCACAGATTATGCAGAGAAACATTGCAACAAAAAAAGGGGGAAAAAAGGAATATGCTTTTATAACTTCTATGCTTCTGGTTTTGACTTCTCCTGTACCAGTGGCAATATGGAAATTTTGTCTGAGTGGCAACATCTATCGTTCAGGAGAATACGGATACCCCCACTGTATAAACTGAATGAAATGACCAATGAGCCAAACAAAAGACTGTCCTAACCCTTACAGATTAGTCTAAAGCAATGATGTCAAACTCATATTATTACCACACGCTGATCTTACATGGGCCTAACGAGCGAAACTTTCTGTCACTGTAAAGATGTTTAACTACAAATTATCACATAGAGAGCTCACCAAACTGTCCTGTATTTACAAAACACATTTTTGTTAATTCACAGTACCATAAATGTTGATTTTGTTACATATTTCTATAGATGGTGGGGGGAAAAACAGGCACCTTTCTATCATTCAGTAGTTTATCTCCTAGTTAATTCCTTTTGTTTTGCATTAATAGGAAAAGCTGTAAAACTTATGAAAGGATGGCCTTATGTTGGACACATCTGACCTAAAGTACGAAGATTCACTTCACTTATGGGATCAAACCATGAGCCTTTCAGTGACTGTGTGTTAATGCTCTCACCATGCTGTAATTCTTCTGGAAGAGAGTGCCATCGCTGTAGAACATATGAGAAAGAGCACTTTTGCCCACTGCAGCATCTCCTACACACACACACACACGGAAGAATACAAACATAATAACCTGTGGTTGTGTTTATGGTGTCGTTTTTGTGAATTAATAATTCATCGTTTAATTTGTGTTTAAGGAGTTCGTTCTCGACAGAATTCGTAATTAACCCCCCCTCATTATCAGGGAGTTTTAGAGTTTAGTGTCTGGTTCACCATCATTTCTGTAAGTTGAAACATCGTCACTCGGCAGTGATTGGTTTGTGTAAGCTAAACGACTGTAGCTACATGATAAAATAGACCCAACGAACATCATCTTTCACATTTAGAATAGTATCAGGCTTGTATTTTTCGTAGGTTGAATCTGAAACATAAGAAGGACACAGCCTGTGGCTGGGGATGTTTCTGTAGTAAAAGGCTAGCTTTAGCCCCCGTTCCTTACATATCAGGTGGGACGCTTTGAAAACCTTACCGACCAGCAGACATCTCGCCCTTAACTTGACCATTATATGGGATGACTTCCGGTCTCTGTCAGGTAAAACTCTCTTGAAGCTAATCGAGCTATGTTTCTCTGTTTATCGGTCCATATGCGTTGGATTATCCTCCCAGCAGCCTCGGGAACATGGACACAAAGCGTCTCTTAGCAACCAGCCACGGGGCTGTTTCATTGGTCCAGTCGGCGTGGACGTAATCGCGTAATCGCGTTTTCATTGGCTTTCTGTGAGGACGTAAAGGAAGCAAAAGGCTACTTTTGCAGAGTGTGTTAGACAGAACTTACTGAAACAGTGGACAAACGTAAATACCAGTGTGCACAACCATTTATAACACCAATAAGCCGGCTTGACAAAAGATTGATGGAGCTTGTTGAAGAACAGAGCAATATCACGTATAAAGCCTGAAGGAGAAAACAAGCGCGAGGTCCTTGCATATTCAGGCAATATACGGTAAGACCGCTAGAGGGCGGAATGTATTGCACCTACCACCAACGGCACCATCAATCATGGAGTTCAACGTTGTTGGGTGGTGGTACTGTTATACTGTCGTTTATTCGTGTAGAAGCGTTCTAGTGTTTTAATAAGTGCTTTCACACAAAATAACCCTTTACCAATATTTATTTTTAGCTCACACACTTTATCATATAACGTTGATTAAGTTAATATCATGTTCTGGTTTAATCACTGTTTTTCCGCCCACCGTCGATAAACGAAGAGCGCGTGACTCTCTGTAGTGGTCCTGAGTACGTCGCTGTTTTTCTTTCTTTCTGTTTTTTTAAGTCGGGTGTTTTGACGAGGAGCGCTCCGTCCGAGGCGTGACAACGGAGGCGCGTTCACGGGGTCGCCACCGGCTTCTGCGCTGAACTAAAGGAAGAAAGCATCACTATCTAGCGCCATCACAAAGCTTTCTTTACCCACACATAACGGAGAAATATTAGAGGTTACATTTAAAACCAACAGCACGAGAGAACAGGGCGCCAAAGGAGACCGGGGGTGGGGGGAGACGCGCATCCCAGCCGTGCAGATTCAGCGGTAGTACAGTAGTGGTGATAGGGAGCAGTTTCGGGGATTTTCCGTTTCGGTTACCCGGTGCTCCATACACCCTGTGCCTTTGAGCCAGCAGCGGGGAGGGAGAGAGAGGAGGAGGAGGACCATGGAGGGGATGCAGGCATACGGAGCCGGGAAAGCCGGAGGAGCCTTCGACCCCGTCACCTTCCTCCAGCAGCCTCAGACCATTCTCCGCATAGTGTCTTGGGTGAGTTGGAGACGTAAAAACGAAAAATAACTTTGTTCTTGGATACACAGTTAGCTACAGAGGCCACCACTTTTCAAATCGTTCATATATGTTGTCAAATATGGGTTTGAATTAGCCGACTGAGGGCCCACACAGGCTTCATTTCAGAGAGGAGCTCCTATAGATACTGAAGGAAGCTGTAACATGCTTTGTGGTGTTTTGTTCTTTTAACTTTTGTTTTCACTTGTGTGTTTGGTGCTATTACCTGATCTCACTAATAATATTCTCCTCACGCAGTGGGTTGATGGGTTGATTGAACAGAGTCCCGATCGCTGTGTACAAAATCCACCTTCTACAGATGATACATTAGTGACCAGATGATGTTTTCTCATGAGCACAGTGAGAACACAGTCACACATTTGTTGGATTTCATAGCAAATAATTTCATAATAACTGTCCACCCTCGGGGCTCTGAGGAGGAGGAGGAGCACTAATGAAAGTAGCAACAGTAGGAGAACACTTTTGACAAGCATAGTAAACAGATGGCAACAGAAGTGCTCCCCAAAGTGTAGGCTCCACGCTGAGTTTTAAGGAAAATACAGCTGAAATGTATGAAACCGGAGGTTTATTTATTCATATAATTAATCATTAAGGAAAATGTGCTTGGTATAAACTGAATGTATAACAATCAAGTTCATTTGACCAGACTGTTGTTTTACATTGTACTTATGTTATTACATGGAAAATTTACATGTATTTAAATGAGTTAAAGTCAGGATTTTGGGCAGACTTTCTTATTTTTAGCGCACTGCCAGGTGGTATTTTATAGGATTTTTGTTTTGGGTGTCTAGTTTTTGCAGCTGTACCTTTTGCGTCGTTTATATTTTGAGAGGAGGAAAATGCATGCACGGTGTGGTGTTTTCATTAGAAAGCATCAAGAACGTTCTCTTAAATTGTTGTAATTTAAGAAAGACAGGAAGTAAATATACTGCATCCAATCATAAACTGCGTCAAGTGATGAATATCCAACGGAGATTTATACATTACATTGTTACAGTTTATTTTTTTAAATGAACATTTGGTAATGTGCAGCAATTAGGAATGCATTATTGCACTTTTTAAAACATTTTTTTCAACAAAATGCAGCAGTGCAAAGGTTAGGCCCAGCAGTCCTTGTTTATGTAAGTTTGTGTAAGCTTTCAAAGAAGATTGCTGTATATCAGAGATGTTTCAAACTTTGCACAATGGGTATATTGTTCAGAACAACTCGTATTTTTTGTTATTTTTAACATATTTGGACAATAAGTTAACAGATAGTACTCCTCGACTCAGCAAGACGTTGTTGTTTTAGATTTTGAACTATACGATTGATTTTTGACAACAGTGCAATCTATTACAAAGAGCATATTATTATTTGTTTTAATAATAATTTTTTGATGTCTCCTTGTTTTATGCAAAAACAGGAAAGGATGTGGAAAGGTGTACTTCAACATTTTTTTAATAAGAAAAATGAGTTGTAGTTTTTTTTAATCTAGTACTCATTCAAATTATCTTATGCGTTACTAAAGGCGCTTCCTGACCACAGTTGTTGGGATTACCTGAAGGTAACAACCTACTGGGAGAACATCTTACCTTTAGTTATTATTTCTCTTAGTTTACATCAGTAAGAATGTTTATGTGATGTATTAGCCAGCTAGAAGTTGTGTGCTGGCAACAGGTTGGTTACAGCCACAACAAAAGGTTGTAGGAAGACATGATTGGAGTTTTGGGATTTTGTCCGTTAATGAAAGTAACTGAATGGGTGGTGGTGCTAAAATACTAGTTTATGTCTGTTAAGCTGTGTTATCCTTGGCATCATTTTTTTGTAGACGCAACTAAAGAAATGGGATCAAATTTTGTGTTTTTGCCAAAAAATACAATTTAAAATTGTTTTTTCCCTCAGTTGTCTGTTATGTGTAGACACTGTGCTGATTCACAGGTCAGTGATAATTGGCTTAACAAACACAAGAAACATTCCTCTGAAAATAAGTGAAAAAGCAGCCACTGTGCAATGAAAGACTCAGAAAGTCTGGAGCACCATTGTTCAAGAGCGTTTTAAAATATCGCAAGAAAGTGTAGCTGCTTGGAAATAAAATAAGAAGAAATGAGAGGTGCTTCAAGACTTTTGCACAGCAATGTAACATAAAATTACAAGGGACTATTTTCTCTAAACCGTATCGCTCTGCAGCTCGGGACAGCCTCTAAAAGCCTGACTAACAAATTTTTTGTTCCTGTATTACCTGCATACACCGGCCTCGGCTATACAGCAACACTTCAGGTCTGCATTGTTTGTTCTGATCTTTTACTTTCTTCTAACCCTTTTTCAGTGTCTTCATCTCTATATTTTCACTGTACTGATTTTGTCTGTGTTGAGGCACCAGTTGGTTAAGAGAAAACACTTAAAAAGTTAAAATTTCATTGTGTTTCCTTTGTAGCGTAAAGTCTGAACTTTAGCGTCAGTCAGGTTCTCAAATTTTAGTTTCATCTTAAGAGCCACTGGTTGCTTGCAGAGCTAAAATGTAAGCAGTTATATAATGTCAGTTACCAGTGTTGTGTTAATACATTATGCTCATAACTATATAAACCTAAGGTAAGGTTTGTATTGTACTGCACAGTCCTGACACTAAAGTGGGAGCTAAGGTTTTCTTCTTTAAAAATTATAAATGAAAAAGTTTCTGTGGCCTGAAAGTGCCATAAACTTAAAAATTATACTTAAAATTATAGAAATACCAAGAAAATGCATAGTTTGTGGTGAAAATAAACCGAGTTTATTAACCCGTTAGCCTTAAATAACAAGGCCAGTGGCTGTGATGTGATGTGTCAGTAAATCATGAATTTAATTATTGTAAAGCTTAGTTGTGAGGTCAGATTTTTGGCTGTATACGAGGTATACTAATATGATGACACACTGTGTGTATCATTTATATTAGTAAACCTGGCAGTTACATTTCTTTCACTGAGTTTTTCTAAACATATGACACATGTTGTGCTGTAAATTCATCTGTATGCAGGAATATTCTTTTAGTCACGTAGGGAAAGCATATTTTAATATGGCACAATCTGATCACTGCTATTTCACCTTTTTTGAGAGTTTTAGGGTTTTATGTTGAACGTATATGGCACAACTCAGTAGATATTTGTAGTTATAAAATCTCTATTTATTATCCAGGGTTGCAGTTTTTTCCTTTTTTATTTTCTATCTTCATTTCTTAATCTTTATATTATTATTACTATTTCAATTAACTAAATTACTGCGCTACAAAGGGGGTTAAATCGTATATTTAAACAATACATTTTACTGTTATGTGACTGTTTATTAATGTTCAAGTTACATAGTTGAGGTTGAATGGTTGAAGTTGTTTCTTCAAGCATTCAGTACTCAAAATCTTAAAAGTAGGAACCAAAACAGCACATGTTTATGTCTTAATAAAATGTTTTATGGTCCTCAGAAATGTTTTCAAGATCATTTTTAGCAGTGATTTTCTTACACATTTATAATTTTCTATTGATTTGACACTGCCGCGACATCTTAAGTGACACTAAGACAACACTCTACAGGTATGGAGTGTCTTTATGACTCCTCACCACATCCTCTGTCCAGAGGTGTCATCAGAGCAGCAGCATGTCGCCATAGTAACAGGCATAGCCTAGCTTGTGATGTATCGTATCCTGCAGCAGTCTGTAGGGGAGGAGACTATAACATTCACCACTTTAAAGGAGACTTCCTTAGTTTATATACTAGATGTCCCAATAGTGTAGCTGTTGTGGCTCTTATTGTGAAAAGGCAGTTGGCTTCAAGTCACACTTTCAATGGAAGTTAAAAACCGACACATGCAAACAAATAAAAGTTCAGCTTTTTCCAAGACTTCAGTGGGT